TGTTAGCAGTTAAGCCCGGAGGGAACTCGATTCTCACTGGCTTTCACCTCGTGTGATTCAACCATATTAATCAGTTTATTATGTATTATAACTGTATATTTTGGTGTGATTGAGAGCTACGAATTTCTCACAGACACCAGAGGTTATTTTTCGAACCCAATTAAAATCAGTATTTTTTAAAAATATATTCACCCAATTCAAGGTTCGAGAGTCACTCAATGTAGGCGATCATTGTTAAAATAATGAATGTGCTGTTGGTGGTATATGAACAAAGAAGAGGTTTTAGGAAGTGAAGAGTATGAGGATATAAAGAATAGAAAACGATTGACTCTTGACTTGAACAGGTTAAAATTATAGTGGTTAGGGAATAATCTACAGTCGTCTGTTTCCAAATGGAGCGGTTCTTCGGAAAATAATTTAGTGGTACTTTTGAATACGGAGGTAAATGAGTGTGGTTTGACTTGAATATAGTATGACATGATTAGCTGTCTCTGGAAAGCTGAATTTTCGATTCAGACAGTACATCCCGAATTGGAAATTGGCGCATCACGATCTTCATATTCCCTTTCTTATTAATTATAACGCTATTATTAACCAACCGGCAGAATTACCCAGTGTTAAAGGAAAATTACAATAGAGTTTTGAATTGAAATTTATTCTAAAATTCAAAGCCGAAAGAAATATAAAACATAAAATCTGTTCGTTTGTTCTTCATCTAAAAGATGGTTTCAAGGAATATCTCTCTCTCTCTCTCAAAAAAAAAAAAAAGAAAAAAGAAAAAGAAAAAAAAAGAGCAACTTCTGCGTGATTAGAATGATTCAATGGGGAAATTAAGAAAATAATAAGCCTCTCATATTCTATAAGGTTCATTAAAACGATTTAGAAATCAACTTTCGACTCTGGCGAATGCTAAAAATTATATGAAAATATAGAAAAATATTTGAAGACGCTTCTGTATGAAAAGTTTCTAAAATACCCCATTTGTTTTTTTTTTCCTATTTCCTCGCGTCGTCTCATGTGGCTTTGGAGTTTATCTCCCTTCGAACCCACTTCATATATTTTTAGTGATGCTCAACCCTCGCGCTCGTTTCATGTGCTTTTAGTGGTTCTCTCCCCTTGCGCCTGCTTCCCGCGTTTTTAGTGCTGCGACAACTTCATAGTGGTACTCTCCTCTCAAGTTCGTTTCATTTGTTTTGGGGTCTGTTCTCCCCTCACACTCGCTTCATGTGGCTTTGTTGCTGCTCTTCCCGCGCGACCGCTTCATGCCTTTTTTTAATGGTGCTCTTCTCTCGAGCCCGCTTCATGTGTCCTTGGGTTTGTTCTTCCCTCACAACCGCTTTATGTATCATTGGTGCTGCATTCCACACGCAATCGCTTCATGTGTTTTGGGTATTGATAGCCTCTCACGTTCGCTTTAAAACTGAAACAGAGAAGGTGTCTAACGACAATTATATCTAAACGAAATAAGGAAGAGTGTAATAATATTTAAAATTCTTCCTCTTTTTCTATGTGACATGTTCCCTTCTAATCATGGCTCTTCACAACTTCCTGTCCTTTTCAGCTCTTAGTATTAGGTTGGTGAAAAAATAATGACATAATAATGTCGTTTTTGGACGTATTTTTTAACGTCAAAAAACGACATTATTACGTCATTCTTTTTGCACCAACCTAATAATTTTTGTCTTTTTCTGTCACTCCTATTCTTTCAACCATTTCTACAAGGCGGGTAGAATACACACTGTTTCCATCTACCCCTCTTGTCTTCATTATATCCTGTGAGTGACAGATTCTCCAAGCCTTCTTTCCTCATTTTCGAGGAATATGGTTCATGCCTTTCCCAAGAACGTAAGTACGGAGTGAACGGACCGAATTTGAACTCGATTCATCGATTCCACTTTTCACACAGAGAGCTGCTGTCTTTCCCAAACATTCAGTGTGTATGCGTGTGGATGTAAACAATGTCTAAGATGCAACTATGCAAGGGATTGTTTACAAAATAAAAATGGTATTAACCAACTGACATTTCTTGGATTTTCATTTTAGATTTACATGATAAATCTACCATGCAACTTGAGCATATAATATCTATTTATATGGGAAACGTTTACAGTAACTTACTTGTTATAAAATTTTATGAAACTCGTGTATTGTTCGTCATATTATAAATAAATATTTATAACTGTGTCGTTATTGATAGTTAAAAATATAATGTTCACAAATCTGTATGTAAATGTGATGGCTGGGCTTAAGGATGAGTTAGAATAAAATTTCATTTTATTCATTATTATTAGTTGTAGTTGCTACGATTAATGCGTTCTATTCAGATTAAGTACTACAATTGCAAAGACGGTTCTCTTTAAAAGAGTCATCTTCCAGAAATACGTTGGTCAATCTTTCTTTTTTTTTTTGCGAATAACATTCATTTCTGTGTAATTTCAGATATATGAAAATTGTCATGGGTCGTAAAACAGATATAACCTCGAATGAGAAACACGATATTGCAAAGTTATTGAGAGATGGGAACAAAATATTGGAGAATGTAAAATAAAAAAAAAAAAAAGAAGTTGAGTCGAGATCATTGAAGAATCAAGAAAAGAAATTGAAAAATACTGGCAGGACAAGAACGAGGAAAAAAAAAACATGGTTTTAAGAAAATTACAAAAAGTAATTTAAGAAATACTGAATATTCAGCTAGAAAAAGGGAATGAAAACCAAGGGAATATTTAAAGTGTTATTGTCAATCTAAACAGAGAAAAAGAAAAAGAAAAGGTGGAGAATCATAAGAAAAATGCTTTAAAAAAATAAAAGCAACCAAAACAACATCATTTGAATACAAATTAGAAAGAGAAACATATGAGTTGGGAAAAGATTCATACGAAAACCTGTTTTTTCAACAGTGATTTTAGTAATGAACGTAGATGGCTCGAGGATGAGCTCTCCAGGAAAATTGTCAAGAGACATTACTGAAAAGACAATAAGAGTGCGTGGAGTGATGTTTTGGGCTAGTATTGTAAGCAGCAAAATTATGGGCCCCATTCAAAATTGATCATTGTATCAAGATAAGGATAAAGAATTCTGCATTCATTCAAGAATATTTAAGCCAAAAGGTATATTCATACAAGGCAATGTCACTTTATATTCCAAAAAGCCCATATTTCAAAAAAAAAGAAAAAAAAAAAAGAAAAAAGAAGATAAGAAAAACATCAAGAAATTCTTTCAATCTCTCCAGATATTAATAAAATAGAGACTCCGTGGACAATCGTCGAAAAAGATGTGTTTCAGAATTGGAAATTACATTGACAGAAAGAATATGTCTATGAAGTAATAACTACTATTCCACTAAAATTAAAACAGTATAAAAGTTAAGAAACAGAATGGTTTAAAGGCTGATTTAGCTTATAAATTGTTAAAGAACCCATTGATTGATACTTTTTTCTGCTGTTCATCAAACCTTTGCAGGTTATTTAAAGCCAAATTATTTTTAGATTGAAAAAATTGTTTGTGAGATAATAATGCTTTAGTGTATTAATAATTAGTCTATATTTATAATATAATAATGCTTTAGTGTATTAATAATTAATCTATATTTATAATATAATAATGCTTTAGCATATAAATTATTAGTCTATATTTATAATATAATAATGCTTTAGTATATACATAATTAGTCTATATTTATAATATAATAATTCTTTAGTATATAAATAATTAGTCTATATTTATAATATAATAATGCTTTGGTATATAAATAATTAGTCTATATTTATAATATAATAATGCTTTAGCATATAAATAATTAGTCTATATTTATAATATAATAATGCTTTAGTATATAAATAATTAGTCTATATTTATAATATAATAATGCTTTAGTATATAAATAATTAATCTATATTTATAATATAATAATGCTTTAGTATATAAATATTTAGTCTAACTAATAACTGAGGAGAGAAAATGTGGATTTATTATTGCGTAATTGAACATAACGGACTAAGCTGAAATTGGAACTTAGTTCATCGATTAACACTTCCGAGTCAATATCCATTACATCACCCGCACATCCAAGCTTATAGTACTTGATATTCCAAAGCGGTCACCCATCTAGATACTGACCAGGCTCGACATTGCTTAAGTCCAGTGATCGTACTGGAACCGTTGTTTCAACCTGATGTGTACGTAATGTTTAGAAGGAGAGGTTTGGCTTCCGAAAAGATGGAAATCCAATCATAAACAAAAGATAGTGATTTTCCAAGCTTAGCTTAGATGTGGCACAAGGCCACAAGTATGGGACTCCCAGTGAGGATCGAACTCACTACTAAGTAGTAATTGTTCTAGCGAGTCAAGACTGCTAACCATTACACAGCCTTGAGATACCCAAAGAAAAACCTTGTGTTTATAGAGATTTTCCAAGCGTAGCTTAGATGTGGCACAAGGCCGAGAGTTCGGGGCACACAATGAAGATCAAGCTCACTACTCAGTAGTAATTGTTCTAGCGAGACAAGATTGTTAACCATTACACCGCCTCGAGGTGCCCAAATCATGAACAAATTATATAGTTATGAATAAAACTTCAAAGTATTTTCACCCGTGTCACATGAAATTTATTAATATTTGTTTCGTTGTAAATCATCTGAGGTTTATACCCAATGGATTCTCAGCAAGTCCAACACTTTTTTTTTCATTAGATTACTTCCCACTCAACACCACGGAATTAATAACACAATTGCACAAATCATGATGGATGATGCTTCACTGGATGGCGATCAATAGGAACTGCAGATCGAACTCGGAAGATAATAACACAAAGGAGTTTGATTCGAAAGAAAAAAAATGCAAAATAAATAATAATGCCAGACGAGTTGTAATTTAAATACTGAACAAGAAAAAGAAAAAATTAAAAAACACAAACAATGAAAGTAACGTTGGCCAACTTTCCTCCAACAATTTTACAAAAATATCAATGTTAAAGAGATATAATCTTAACCGATAAATCTAGCTTACGGCCACATCACGTTAAAACTCCAGCTTCCCGTACGATCACTGAAGTTAAGCAACATCTAGCCACGTCAGTACCGAGATGAGTGACCGCTTGAAAACACCAGGTGTTGTAAGCTTAGATGTGTTGTAATGGATAGTGTCTTGGGATTTTTAATCAGGGTACCAAGTTCTTATTCCAGTTGGGTTCGTTATATTCACATACGCGCAAATACCCTTGGGAAAGGCATGAAACCACATTTTCTCTCCCAAATATGAGTTAATTCGTAAGAAATGTATCACGAAATCGTCATTATTTCAAAAGAGAAATCTTGCAAATCTGAAAATAATTTTCTCGCTTTAAATAATCTGCAAAGGGTTGATAAACCGTAAAAAACGAATCAATCAATTGACAGATCTTTACTAAGCGCCAGTTGAAACTAGAAAGTGTTGTTGGATAAATGTTTAGTGATGGAAATTCAAAACATAGTCAATAAGAAAAAAATAAGTGGTTAGAAATTATAAGTATAGGAATAAACAATATCTGTCTAGATATCTGAGATGAGGTATTATAACTATTTACATTATTTACATTGCTATATTCACAACGTTTCGGTCGTTGTATGCTCCGGCCTTATTCAGGTGATTGGAATTTCAAACAGAACCCTTTATTTCATCCACCGGGGTAGATAGTTCTAGTTTCACGTGCCATGTCTCTTCGCAGATATCTTACTTTAACTCAACTCTCTAAGTTTTTGTTCAACACTGCAGCAGCCAGGTATTGAAACTCTTTGAAACAAGTCAGTGGGTCCAACGAATGCTTTAATTCACTAAACCATGCATCCTTGACGAAATAAAAGGGTTCAATTTGAAATTCCAATCACCTGAAGAAGGCCGGACCGTACAACGGCTGAAACGTTGTGAATATGGCAGTAATGATGAGGACAACATTCCGAACAATGAAAATAATGTAACTAGAAATAAACAAATAAATAATTCTACAAACAAAAAGCAAAAATGAATATAGAACGTTTATGATTTCATACAAAAAAAGAAAATGTTAGATTCAGTAAGGGGACATAAGAAAAATAATGGAGGAGAAAAGGGAAATGGAAGAAAGAAAGAAATAAAAATGAAAGGAGGAGAGGAAGATTGAAATAAAACAAATAAGGAGAATGAAAGAAAGGAAAAAGGATTTGTTTTGTTTTGCGGCATATCAATCTCAATGCGTTATTAATACAGACAAAATTTTTATTGTTGGCAGTATTCTTTTTCAAAAATCTATTTTTGGTAATATTTTTTTTCTTCAAAAATCTATTTATCGTAATTTACCTTCAAATATGTATCGCTGGTAATATTTTTTTTTCAAAAATGTATGGCTAGTAATAATTTTTTACAAATTATTTCTAGTATTAAAACATATTTTTACACTTTCATAGTGTTTTGACCCCAGTTTGGGGTTAATTATTTGCTCATAGATGGAACCCTAACAGGTGCTACCACTCCGGGTCAGGGCGGACCTGGGAACAGCAGCAATTAAAGCTTTGCTGTTGGACGTAATTTATCGTCTTACCCAGGACGAGAAAGGGAAAAGGAAACACCGATCGTAAAAAAAATCGTTAGAAATAAAGAATTTTTTTTTGTTTAGAGGCTTACCAAATTCTATTGGTTATTCACTGCTCCAATCGAAATATTTTAATGCAATTTATTTGTTGAGATAACAACAGTTTAAAAATTTTTTTATCCTACTAATTAACCCAAACATGAATGGGAAGAGGTGAATTCATACCTTTTCCAGAGGTATTTGCGTGGAAAGGAATATAACGTTTCCAATTAAAATTGGAACAGCTCTCCTATTAACAATCCCGAGCCATTATAAATACTATTAAGGAAAGAGGGCAATAAAAGAATAAGTACTAAGAAATGGGGACAGACAGAAACCTCGTTCCTTTCAAAGCTGCAGCACCCGTTGGCTACAGCTTTATATTTTTCCGAAAGCATTTCTGTTGATAATTTTCGCAGCTTTTTGGTCGCTATTCTCCGACTTGTATGGAAGCATATGGATCGAGTACGAAGAGATACATTGCTTCTATTAGGTTGGTGCAAAAATAATGACGTAATAATGTCGTTTTTTAACCTATTTTTTAAAGTCAAAAAACGACATTATTACGTCGTTATTTTCGCACCAACCTAATAATTTCCATTTCGTACCATTTACTTCACGGTCGTAGAGTATTGACCTAAGAGTTGCGATGAACAACAACAAAAAAAACAAATCAAATCGAAATTACCTCGAAGTTACTTGGACTGTAAGTATTTCTATCATTAATTTTTCTCTTCCACCACGAACAAGCACTTAAAACTTGAAACCTCTTAACATTTCTCATCCACCAGTCTAACCACTGAGCCACCACTCAACTGACTCTGATACGATTACAGATTAGACTGTTTGATTTGTAAGTCAGGGCAGGCGATATAATGGGCATGCATTTAATGTAGAGAGAAACTCAGGTGTTATTGACTAAGTTGGAAGGGCTGGTGTTTACGCTTCGCCAGTTCTTGTAAATACAGACGCCGCACTCTGCATTGGGGTTACACGCCAGTATTCTTGAGATCGGACGACCACGAAGACACCGGCTAAATTTAGATACATATTTAAAAGTATTTGAAAGCACACGTCACGTTTAACCGTGTTTCTTTATATTTCTGTGCAGAGTCATGGGGGTTACTACTTGAGAATTTGATCTCGGATTTGGCTGGGGAGGAAAAGAAAGGATGTAACTTTCGTTTATTCACCATCTCCGTGACTACAGGGCGTGCAGCGCTATCAATGTAAGAGGTGGGCATTTAGAGCTGCGAATGTCGTTTTGAATTTAGCCTTCGCGCAACTTGTTTGGTACTCCGTAAAAAAGAAAAAAAAAAGAAAAGGAAAAATAATAAAAGACGTCATATCTAACTCCGAAGTCTTTTTTAAATTTTTTTTTTTTTTTTTTTAGAAATGATCTAATTATTTTATGTTAACAAGCAAAGCAAACAGAAACAAAAGTTTACTTTGAAAAGTTTACAGATTGCTCATTAGGGACCACCATTAGCTGAGACCGAATTCTCTTTAATGTCATTCACGGTCTACAAACTCCTCCCTGTTAAAGGCGCAAATCTGCTGGAGGGGGGCTGGCAAATCTGGAAAGTGCGATATTTTCTATTGGCACAGTTATTGGAAAATGAGACGGCCACAAAGAACACAAACTTCTCAGTGCAGACTGAGAAACCCTAAGGGCGAGTTTATGTCCAAAACTGTTTTGATTTGGTTTTTATCCCAACTATCATTTCTAACAGCCACCCCACCCCGCAAAAAAAAAAAAAAAACCGCTTATAAGTAAAATCAGAAATACACAGCTTAAATATCTGGGATAATAATGAAGTAAGGTGTCTTGGAAATTTTCACACCCACAGGAGATATTGATTACAAAACCACATGGAAAAACAGCGAGGTACCTACTTAAAGAGTTTGTGTGAATAGATGGCGGAACGAGGAATGTAAAGGATGGTTAAAAAACAAATTAAATGCTACAAAGGTTAGGAAGTCGTAGAGAGCCGTGATCACTCACATTCTTATAATGATAAGAAAAATAAGTGAAGTCTTAAAGATTTTATCGATCGAGTAAGCATCTTCTCAAGAATCTAATCCACAAAGTAACGATTGTTGGCAATAAGCTCATGGGGTGGAAATTCCTTCTCACAAATGAAAAACGAAAGGAATGAGGATGATTTGACCCTGTGTATGTGGCATGGCAGGTATTAACTGTAAAGGTCTGAAATGGTGAAACTAACCTCCAGGAAAATGATTCTTTGCACCTTCTCGGACTAACATTATCTGCCGACATGAATTGGCAGATTATATTGAATCAATTGCTATGTCTGCGGCTAGAAAAGTTGGTTTACTGTATCATGCTAGACTATTTTTCTCCCCAGAATCTATCTGCTCTATTTATAAGTCTATGATTTTAATATTGATGCCACGTATAGTCTTGCGTTCCTGCTTTATATTTGGAGATTCCAGATAAAAATCCTAAGAACAATCTGCAATGTTATTGGACCTGACCTAACATCTTGGCTTCAGTCACACCCATCACCGCCGACATATAGATTCCCTGTACCTTTTCTATAAATACTTTTATGGCTATTGTTCTGATGAAATTTCCTCTATGGTACCTAGACTTTATGAATTTAAGTGCATTATTAGATTGGCAACAAGGTCCCATCCATTTACAGTCGATTTTGGCCATATATAACCGTAAATTTTACGTTTACAGTTTCCTCTCTTGCCGTCCCGTTTGTGAAACTTTCTTCCGGCTCCATGCTTTTCAGTCAACTTTGATCTTCAAAAGTTTCAATGCAATGTTAATCACTATCTATTGTCTTTTTGTTTTCTCTCCTTTTAATGGTTTCACTCCCTAATGTTTTTCTTTTACTTACTCTTTCACACGCAGTAACCCCTGTATCTTAGTGGCTTTACTGACTTGCTTGGGGTGAAATAATTAAGAAATGAATGCTCGATTTGAGTAGTTATAGGCTCGCAAAGTTTAGTCATTAGAAAAATAATTCATCTTCCACAAGACGACGTAAAATTTTTTGAACTCTGCCAATGCTAAAAAGAGAAGACTGGGCAGCTGCGGCACAGTCTGACATCCAAGTCATTGTTCAATTAAAATTGTTCTCGAAACAAGGTTAGTAATGTCCAGACTATGACCGAAGCGCAATCCAATGTATTTATCATGCTTTGTTTAACTGGTACAAGGTCACTAATATTGGCTATCCAGAGATTTTTACCTCACTACAGTAGTAAGAGTACGAGAATAACTTGCTAAGCATTACTCCACGACGAGGTTTTTAAACAGACATCAATAAAGCTTAGCTAAGTCTGGCACAAGGCTGCATGTGATCGGCGTTCAATGAGAAATAAAATCACAATCATATTGATAACATGCTGCACGGTGTTGTGTTTAATTTATTAAACTCAGCTTAGTATAATATAAATCGTAGAGTACCCAATGAAGATCGAATTTCCTGTACAATGAGAGGCTCCTTGAAACAGTTTTTGTCTAGTCAAGCGCAGCGAGGACCTTTCTGATGACGAGCGAGTACCTCAAACTCAGCAACAGTTTCTCGTGATATTCTAAAGTTCTAGTGGATTCTTTCCGGGAAAATAACGTCTATCATTAACACTAGACAAAAAAGATAAAAAAAAACAACAAAAAAAAAACATAACTCCATAACATTGATCGAAAAGAAAATCCTGGCTCAATCAATGGAGTTCCGCTGCCAGTCTTCTCGGGATTGCAAAGGTAGGAATTAAAATAGCGTGAATAGATTAAAGTTATTTGACGGATCTGTATTTATTACACCATAGTGTCTGGAAAGATCTGTTGCCGACCCACTCCCCCCTCTCCCATAGTCTGCCAAAATGTTTAAACATCAGAATTTCTTCGAAGGTCTTCTTAGTCTGAGCGTAAACATTTCAATACACATTTAACATATGAGTTAACTGAAAACATGTAAGAATTTTTAAAATTAAGTAATATGCAAATCTCTGAGTAAAAGATTTAATAGAAAATTACCTTGCGCTGGTAGAATATGTAAATGATAGTATAAAACGGATAAAGTTAAACAACAAAGACATTCGTGGAATATTAACCGATTTCGTCACTTAGGATTATACAGTGTAACCCGGATGTAAGAGAGTTGTCGGGACCGGAGAAGAAGTCTCTTATATCCGGGTTTATCTTATATCCGGGTTTGGTCTATTTTATATACATTAACACAGGCTCTAATTTGGGACCAGAGAAAATCTCTCTTATACCCGGGTTACACTGTATTTATTGTTTCGTCTTTTTCTCCAAATATTCATCATTTGATATTTTCTTTTCTTTTTTTCAAATTCTTATGGAACTAATCAGTTCTTGAATATCTATTATTATTTTTAATAAGTTAATGGATTTTTTTAATCCGGGATTATTTCTTCTTGTTATATACGTTATATTTAATGTGTACACGTTTTGTTTTTTTTTTGTTTAGTAAAAATCCCTATTTTATGAACAGCAAAATCTATGCATACCGGACTGGAGTCCGAAAGTTTGAATAAAGAAATTGTGCCTCCAAACAGCACAATTACTTTATTGAGGCTTTCGATCTCGACTCCTGTGGTCATAAGATAGCAATCACCCGACTGTAACAAGAAGAGGGGTTTTACATCCTCACGAGTAAAAAAAAAAAAAAAAAAAAATCCAAGTTTATAGAAAACACTAAATTCACATACCCGTTTCCGATATTAATTGACGAACATTAATTTTATGGCTGAGAGATTTAGTATAGCATTTTTATTAGTCTGTACAACAAAAAAATAACACGCAGAATATATATATAAATATATATATATATACGTGTGTGTGTGTGTGTTAAAAATATGCATAATACTCTAGCACTCTACATTGAGTGCACAACTCAGAGTTTCAGGCTGTTTGCAATCGTCAGACTCGAATGTTTGGGTTAACACCACTTGTTTAATATTTCTGGTTATTGCAAGATATTTTATAGTTAGGGTGGATTATTATTGCTGTTAATTATTTAAATGAATGAATTTATATACTAACGCTTGCTCATACATTTACCTATATTTATCCATTTCATATATATATATATATATATATATATATATATATATTTGGTTGGATTGATGTGAGATTGTGACCCTGGGTTTCACGTTTTTGCGATCGTCAGACAAAATCTGTTTGTCTGACGATCACAAACTCACATCCATCCAACCAAATATGTTAGCTCTATCTCTGATATTGAGCGCTTTTAATAAGTATCGCACATATAATATATAAATTATATATATATATATATATATATATATATATATATATATATATATATATATATATGAGAATGACGAGAAAATTTATAATGACTCTAATGGACGAAGTTTAAACGCTTTTAGTTTGATATATGGCCTTTGAAGCTTGTATGATTAGTATTAGATTCATGAGCCCAGACTTTCTCAAAATTCATATGTGGTTTGCTTGAAGTCGTTGGCTGACGAATTATGGTTGATGTCAAACTGTCATGCAGAAAATCACAAATGAATTTCTCCCCATCTTCAATCCTCCCTCAGGATCCTTACTCCAACATTAGAACTGTGTTTCTGACACTGGATTAGCTGAAACCAGCCTAAGTAGTTGCACGTGTCTCTTTCCATCTACTCGCTCCAGGTGACTTTGATCTGTCCTTGAGTTTAGCAGTTACTAAGGATATCAGCAAATGAATCAGTCCAACATACGAATTACAAATTGGATATACCAAAATCAAGCAAATACAACAATTTAAATATCTAGCGGTTGAAAAATATGATACTGAAATCCAAAGGTGCATTGTCATAGTGAAAGATGCCTTTCAAAAGCTAAGCAAAGTACTAGGAAACAGGAAAAGTTCGTTCGAAACCATGAAAACAATACTGAACTGTTATGTAATATCAATCCTATATGGCAGTGAGTGTGGGACTGAGGATACAATGTATTGGGCATGTAAGCAATGTCGAAATTTTGAAGACAATGGAAAGAAAAATTATACTTATTCTTTGCATCAGAAAAAAACATAGTCGCGTATATATAAGTGAACATTGAAGTCAACACATAGAGGCGACAGGCTGTTTCACGCTAGACGCAATTGTCAGAACTCGTGGCCTGACGATTGCGTCTAGCATGAAACAGCCTGTCGCCTCTATGTGCTGACTTCAATGTTCACTTTTATATTTACACTCGCTCTATCTCTGATATTGAGCACTTTATCCCATAAATATAGCACACCTTAAGAGTATATTTCTTCATATATATATATATATTTCTTCATATATATATATATATATATATATATATATATATATATATATATATATCCCTCACCGGTAGCACGACTCTGAGTTTCATGCACAACACAATCTTCAGGTGATGAACATAATTTAGATTTCAATAAAAATATCTGGCTGGCGCAGTCCACATATTATACAGGAATTACGGTTTTTATTTTAAAATATATATTGTATTTAAAATAGACGGGACTTTTATTTTATATTTAAAATAAACGGGGATCAATATTTTATTTTATATTAAAAATAAACCGAGATTAATGATATTTATTTAAAAAAAAATATTAAAATTGACGGATTTTAAAGCTCTGTTAGATTACATCGAGCACCATTTTATTAACACCAGCACTCAATGAGCGATATGTGTATGTTCTTGTACACATATCCTTATGGAAAGAAATCGAGTGACATTGATACATGACTATAAATCTGTAAGTACTTTTAGCTTCTGGAACTCTCTTCCGGCTTCCACCTTTCCTGTGAACTACGATCTTCAAAAATTTAAGTTTAATATCAATCGTCATCATCTGTCTCCTGGAACCCTGTTCATTTATTACTCTCTCTCTCTCTCTCTCCCTCTCTGTTTTATTCACTCTCTGGAACGCCTTGAATCTTAGTGGCTTTATCGTCTCTCTTGAGATGAAGAAAAAAAAATCTCGTGTTCACACACAGAGACACGTATTTTTTTTAATTGCTAATTCGCGCGTCGACGCTTAAAGTCAGAAAGAGAGAATTGGAATTTTTGTAATATATTGTGAGAAAAGGACTTGGAAAACTTAACACTTACATGACATACTGAAAGAATAAGAGAAAGATCAAAACAGGAACCTACCTAAATATTTTGCGTAAATGGATAGAGTGATGGCGAAAAATAGCTTAGAGTTAATAAGGAAAAGAAGTAGTGAAGGGCCATGATCTTATATGTTCTGAAGGGAGACAACACAAAGAAGTATTCCCGAGTCGCAGTCAAGAGATATAATTGGTAATTTCCCGCATTGAGTTTTCTGTTTATGTAAATCCTTCGCTGTGCGTTGTCTCGTTAGAGAGTATTGGTTAGTAAGCTAGTCTCGTTCTTGTTACTATAAATAGTTCGAGTCTCACTGGGTGTCCTTAATTTGGGATCTTAGACCAGACTCATGCAAGCTTAATAAATCCATATTCGCTTTGCGCTAATATCGAAGTGCTGAAAAGACTAAGGTTTTTCCGGATGTTTTTTTGCCTTCCACGCAATTGAACATAGATACATTCAGCCTCTTATTCACAAAGGCAAGCAGTCGATCCATCAACCAATAAAGCATACAAACACGTTTTTCTCTTTTCTTTATAGCAAACCGAACTCTCTATTTCAAACAAGTGCATTTGGGGAACGAAATCAAATGCATTTTAAGCGAATGTTTGAATCAAAAATAGAAATCGTTGTAAATGCAGCTAGAAAAATCGAACAACTTTTTAATTGATTCAAAATTGATTGACTGAAGAAGCGAGAGATCAAGGTTTTCTTTTGTTCATTTTAGTTTCCATTCTTTGTTTCTTTGTTTTATTCTTTTGGTGATTTCTTTTCTTTTTAATTCCTAACTTACTTTTTTTCACACCCTTTTTTTTCTTTTGTTTCTCGTTTCGTATGCTTATTTTTCTGGTTCTTTTACTTTGCAAGCAATTGGTTTTCGTATTCTCGAATTCTTTTTCCTTTCATAACTTCTTGTGTTCTTTCTTTCTTCATTTATTTTCCCATTCTCTTTCTTATTTTTAATTATTTTTCTTTTTCCAATTTGTGCATATGATTTACTTTTATTCATTCTTTCGTTCATTCTTCCTTTTCTTTTTCCAATTTTTAAATATAATATTTTTCTTTCATTTCTTCTTTTCTTTCTTTCTCCTATTTGAAAATAACATTTTCTTTCTTTTATTCTTTCTTTCATTCTATTTCTTTTTCCATTTTGTAAATATAATTTTCCTAGGTTCATTTTTTTTTCTTTTCTATCCTTCTTTCTTTAATTTGTAACCACCATTTTCTTTCTTTCTTACATTCTATCGTTTTCTTTTTCCAGTTTGTAATAGTTATTTATTTTCATTCATTTTTCCTTTCTTCAATGGGTAATTATAATTTTCTTTCTTTTTATTATTCTTTTTTTTTTCGTTTTCGAATTTTCTGTCTTTCATTTTCCTTTTTATAAATATATTCTTTCTTTCATCCTTTTATTTTTTCCAATTTGTAAAGGTTATTTTTATTCGTTTTCTTTCCAATTTGAGAAAATAATTCTTTTACTATTCCTTTTATTTCTTTCATTCTTTTTCTTTTTTTTTCTCCAATTCATAAAAGATCATTTTGTTTCTCTTATTCATTGATTTTCCAGCATTTTTTTGGAAATAGCTTTTTTTATTGATCTTTCAACCCCTCCATTTGTTTGTATTTTTCTTTTCTTTCTCCTCTTTCTTATTTTCATTCTTTCCTTTTTCTGTCTGTCAATATTTACTTTATTTCTTTGTCCTTTTTCAAAAGTGACCCCATTGTACCCGATTTAGCACTAAATATAATCCTTTGTCTAAACGTCGCCCAAATCAGATCAATAGAAATAAAATCATGACGTTCAAAATGAAAAAAAATAAAAATAAAAAAATAGACTTGTTTTTAATTAAACATTAAACAGTCGATATTTTGTGATTATAATGAGAGAATATCGATATTTGCAAATAATTTTATACAAATAAGAATTTCAGAAGAAAATATAATTCGAAATGGATTTCTTTTACACGAATTGTTGCTTGCCTGAGTTGCTGAAACAGTTCAGCAAATGACTTTAATTACGCTTCATCGGAAACTGGGCGTAAGATATCAAGAGAAATAATCAACATATGTCATAATTAACGGGAAGTAATAAACACAGAAACACTAACGAAGGATGGTGAAAAAGATCTCGTCCAAATTATCAATTAATTCATTCTAGTTTGATTTGAAAACGTTTAGCACTAGCTAGCATATATATATATATATATATATATATATATATATATATATATATATATATATATAGAGAGAGAGAGAGAGATAGATATAACTATTTATATAAAAAAGTTTATAACATAAATATGTTATAAAATCACTACAAATGTAGCCATTAGTAGTTATTGGAATTCATTCCGTATACACAAATCATATACTTGTGTGTGTGTGTGTATATATATATATATATATGCTCTCGTTCGCCGATTGAACACTATGGAGAAAAAGGAGTTTTTAAGGAGTGCTGCCGCTTTAATGTATCACTCCTCGTAAGAATTAAAAGCTATGTCGATCCGTATGCCATTTATATAGAACGTATATAATGTGTTAATAATTCCCTTTTTCTACCGTGCGCTGATAGCCTCGGGGTAAGTATCTCTGACAGATGTCAAATCTGTCGAGTTTCGATCACGGCTTGAAGCAATCGGATATCTATCCACACTGATGGTCTGTGATGCAGCGAAACAGCCTGTCTGTGGATGACTATATATATATATATATATATATATATATATATATATATATATATGAACATACATATACTCGGGCGAATAACGAGAAAATTATTATACATGGTTAAAAAAAATTAAGACATGATTTTTTTATTAGAAATTTTATGACCAAAAGCAAGAAATCATTTGATGATTAAATTTTGCTCTCGTCAAAATATCCTCCTTTAGCCTTGGTTAGTGCAGCAGACATTTTTGGCATTTGTTGCAAAAAAAACTTCTCAAAGTATAAGTTTGATAAATGATTCCATTCTTTTTTAAATAACACTAAGTACTCTTTTCCATTTTTTTCACCCTTCTGCTAAATTCTATCCTATTTCTGGTAGTACCTTCAAATTTTTTAACTGTATTGTATACACACACACACACACACACACATATATATGTATATGATGCCCCCCATCCTGTTGCCTTCGAAGTATGAGAAGTTAACAGTTCAGTTTAGCACTAAACCGCGAAACCACCAAATGACATTATTTGATTATTGTGCCTGTTAAAGTTACAATTTCATGAGAATGGATTAAAAAGGAATGCGTAAGAACGTCCCATATCATATTTAAAGAATATGTCGTATGGAGAAGAACTTCTTAAAACAGATCTGGAGAACACATCGTATGTGGAAGAACTTCGCATGCCAGATCTGGATAATATGACGCATACAGAAGAACCTCGCATGCCAGATCTGGAGAATATATCGCATGTGGTACGACTTCCCATGCCAGGTCTGGAGAATATAACACACGTGAAAGAATTTCCCATACAAGGTCTGGGGCAGATAATGTATGTAGAACAACTTCCTATACCTAAACTGGATAATATCTCGTGCGTTATAGAACTTTTCATACAACTTCTATGATCGTTTGTTTCGTGGCATCTACAACATGAGGAAAAGCGATAGCATTCAGCAAATTTATTGGTCAACTTTCTATGCTTTGAGAAATATCTCTTCTAGCAGAGCGCGTCTTTGAAAAGGTCCTCTTTCCAACAGAATCTGTTTGTCTCGATTTATCAATTTTATATAAAGTATAGTCTTTGGATTCGACTACAGTCACGTTTTAATAGTTTAAATTCTGTTGACGATGCTGCTCGGCCTTCATTTGAGTTCCCCGAATAAACTATAGACATTGACTAAATTTAGTAAATGTCAGTATTTTATTTTTAACGCCCTTTACTGATTGAGAATATCTGAAAGGATATTATTGTCACAATAAATCGTTTACATTTACGGAGTTATTCATTTTTCCAAAAGATTTTGTGTTAAAGAAGGCAATTTATGTGATGGATGCATTGTGAATACGCTTGGCTTAAGCGATGTGATTCGTTTTTGCTCGGTGACAGGCGAAAGATTCTCTCATCATAAATGAGAAAAAATCAGTTGAGTGGCCGCCATTTTTGTTTCACATAGTTGTGACTGATATTAAGCATGCGCATCTTACCTAAACAAGAGTACACATTCAAAATAGGGATTTTTAGTTATTACAGGATGAAAAGAGAAGCATTATTTCCGTATGAATTTTATCTGCAAGTTTATGTATTTGAAAAATAACTCCTATATTTTGTGTCGATTTATCAAAATGCATCTTAATTCTGATGATCCTTCCTGAATCAGTTAATCGCCATCAAGCGTAGGAATACACTTTTGAGAAATGTTACTTAGAAATAGTTCCATAACAATAATAATGAGGTTGTTTATTTATATATATATAAAAGAAAACACGTAAAGTATATCTTTTTATTGAAAAGGGGAAATGCCCTGATGAAATAAATAAAGAAGAGAATTGTCCGTTGAGATTGCTAAGATCTACGGCAAGAATGAATCTGTTTGCCGCATAACTTTTGTTACAGTGTCGTATTGTATAGACGAATATGTAATATGCAATACGTCCTCCTTATCTATTGCATTGGTTTCATGTATCCGTGGCCAATACCAGGAAAAAAAGTTTTACTTAATAATGTCCCTAAAGCATAAGGATAGTGATGCTAGCAATTTGGATATGCCAAAGAGAAAGCCTACAGTGTTTCTTTTAAGTAAAAGGATGAAAGTAGAAATCGTTTGGTGAAGTTGCCATAGGTCAGTATATAACATAAAATGCGTTCTCTTTCTCCACTTTCTTTCAGTAAAATGTTGGAAGCTTTCCACTTAATAAGGAAAAGAAAAAAAATGTACACTATGGCCGTTAAGATCGATGATAAGAACCAATCTTCTGTCCATCACATAACTTTTATTAGTCTATTGCTATAATTGTTCGATTTGGTTATTTATTATTTTTATTAATCTCTTATTGCATCTAATTTATAAATTAAACTTTAAAGCAAGTTGAAATATATGGGGAAGACATAATGCTTTTTTAAGTGTGCATATGTGTATACATAGATAAATATATATATATATATATATATATATATATATATATATATAATAATCGGCTCTCCCGTCGAGATTCGACGTATGAGGGTCAAACAGATCAGTTTCCAGGAAACCGACAGCCCGAAACCGGCACATGAGATTTGATTATAGTGGTGAAGGTTTCGTGCAGGTCCATCCACACTTTTTGAAGGGTCGAATACAGAGACATGGTGCACCGAATGCCACAAGGTCCCCAAACGACCCTCCGCATGTCTTGAATTCAGAGTTGTCCTTCTCCTAGACCAGTTGCCATCCAAGGCTATAGAACATTGTCTGTCCTACTATTTTACCTATATATATATATATATATATATATATATATATATTCGTTTTCCGAGATCCGGGTTCGAATCTAACTATGTCAGATGTGTTTGGGAGGTGACTATTTTTATTTTATGATCCTTAGGTGGCGATTTTGTTAGAAATTGGCTGACAAACATAGCACGGATTGACCAAATCCTTGTGAGTGAAATTTGGCAGATGAAACTCTTCTGGAAGCCACCGTTGGTTGTGAGAGCAGAAAGTCACAAACTATAGTTACTGAGGATTTGAGCGTACTAGCGTAGTTTAAAATGTTTAACACACCAGATTATGCATTCTCCACTAAAACCTGCTACTAAGGTCCGCTCATCACTGTTGCCGCAGAAGCCACTCGTGCTCCATCTGAGTACTGAATACACTTAAATAAGCCTAAACAGGGAGTGGCTAGCAGAAAAGATAGCGGATAGGTGCGATCAGAAACGAGAACCTGGCCTCTGTCTGCCTCTCTCTCTCTATATATATATATATATATATATATATATATATATATATATATATATATATTTTATATTTTACAATTGGGATTAAGATACCTATATATATATATATACTTTTTTTTACAATTGGAATTAAGATATATATATATATACTTTTCTTTACAATTGGAATTAAGATACCTATATATATATATATATATACTTTTTTTACAATTGGAATTAAGATACCTATATATATATATATATATATATATATATATATATATACTTTTCTTTTACAATTGGAATTAAGATACCTATATATATATATATACTTTTCTTTTACAATTGGAATTAAGATATATATATATATACTTTTTTTTACAATTGAATTAATATATATATATATATATATATATATATATATTTTTCTTTTACAATATATATATATATATATATATATATATATATATATATATATATATATATATATATGAATTGAATTAAGATATATATATATATATATATATATATATATATGTTATAAGGAAACTAATTGAAATAATAAAACAAAAAATATTAATATACAACCCAATGCGTCCGAAAATTTTATTTTTTTTTTTAATATTTTTTATTGTTCAAAAACACAGACACACACACACACATTGTCTTTTTGAACAATGATGTACATTGAAAAAATTTATAATTACCTTAAATAGTACCGATGTCGCCATATTAATACCAAAAATAGCGGGTCGGAAATTTCTAAGGAACCGTTTGCTCAACCCTTCGTCAGATAAACTACCTGGCGAAAAACATTATACATACATATATATATATATATA